TACAGGCATGTGCCACCACACCAGGCTCATTTTTCTGTTTTTAGTAGAGACGGGGTTTCACCATGTTGGCAAGGCTGGTGTTGAACTCCTGACCTCAAGTGAGCTGCCTACCTCGGCCTCCCAAAGTGATGGGATTACAGGCATGAGCCACCATGCCCAGCCCAGAGTGCTTTCTTAACACACACACATCTTTGCTGCCCAACTCTTAATGTCTTCGGGACTAGGCCAAGAAATAAAACACTTCCTGCATGATTCTGATACACAGGCTTGGAAAGTCATGCTTTTTGTTTTACACAAAATGCACACATGTATGTACACACACACGCATACACACACACACATTTGACTCGAAGACTGGGAAGGCACCTTTGGTACCATTTAGTACAACACTTCCACTCTACAGATAAGAAAATAGAGGCTCTGAGTGGTGAAGGAACTTTCCCGAATTAGACAGCAGTAAATCTATAAGTGGAATCTGAGCCTGGAATGAGGGTAATCATGCATCTTCCTGCTTAGATGAGGATCACACTCTTCTTGCTGCCCAGCAGTGAGTGACTTCAGCTGCTCGCCTCAGGGCTATTTTTGGAATGCTTTTTCAAATTTCTTCCAGAGTTATTGGTCTGTTCAGGTATTACACTTAATGTGTCACTTTTGCAAATTTAGGTTTTCTGACAACATCATTCACTTTAATCATAATGTTAAAGCTCATTAGCAAGAATCAAATTCCTATATAGTTTATACAATGACTTCTGTAATTTTAAGCCCTTCTTTTAATGTAACATGTTTTCTTTTAAAATACAGATCCATATTTGTATTAAATATTTTTTCTCTTTCTTTTTTCTGATATGGAGTTTCACTCTTGTTTCCCAGGCTGGAGTGCAGTGGTGTGATCTTGGCTCACTGCAACCTCTGCCTCCTGGGTTCAAGCTATCCTCCTGCCTCAGCCTCCCGAGTAGCTGGGACTACAGGCACACACCACCATAGCTGGCTAATTTTTGTACTTTTAGTAGAGATGGGGTTTTACCATTTGATCAGGCTGCTCTCAAACTCCTGACCTCAGATGATCCACCAGTCTCGGCCTCCCAAAATGTTGGGATTACAGGCATGCACCACCGTGCCCAGCCTGAATTAAACATATTATACCACTTCATAGTTCTTTAAATATTTTTTGACACTTACATTAAGTTTAATAACTGTGATAACAGCAGTATTTTTGGACAGTGGCTTTAAGTTTCATTTATTTTATTGCTCACTGTTTTGTTTTGTACTCTACCATTACTATTTATAAGTTCTTTATTTTGGTTCATTTCTTGCTCAGCTCGAATATCTCGAGTAATTTCAGGACAGGTGTGTGGGTGAGGAACTTTCTGAGAATTTTTATATGTCATATGTCATTCATTCTGGCTCACGAGTTACAGCTTTGCCAATTATAGAACTGGCATAATTCATAATTTCTTACCCTCAAAATATTCACAGAAACCCAAGATAATCAACTGAAAAATGGCTATACCCAACAACAGAGTTAGGTAAAGTGGTTGGGCACAAATTAATATAGAAATCAATATTATCTAACTACGCATATAAAAAAGTTATGTTGGGGAAACAAGATTCCACCCCTAACAGCAGCAAAAAGAATACAAATGTTTTTTAAAAAAACTTTAAAAATATACAAGATTTTATAAAGAAAATATTTGAGAGACACAAGAAAAGCAAAAGTAAATGGAAATGCATATTCTGTTGTTAGGAAGATTCAACATCATAAAGAATCAATTCAAAAAAGATCAAAGATCTAAATATAAAATGCTAAAACTATAACACTTTTAGAAGGAAAACTGGGGGAATGCTTCATTGCATTGGATTTGTCAAAGATTTCTTGGATATAACATCAAAAGTATAGGCAACAAAAGAAAAAACATTTAAATATCAAAATTTAAAACTCTGTGCATCAAAGTGTACAACCCACAGAGTGAAAAGGCAAGCCACAGAATGGAAGAAAATATTTGCAAGTTATATATCTGATTAAGGGCTAACATCCTGAATATATAAAGAATTCCTATTTAACTCAACAACAAAAACAAACCACCCAATTTGTTAATTCTCCATAAGTTTCAACCTGGAGAATAAGAAGGAAGGAGGGAGGGTGGGATGGTGGGAGAGAAGGGAGGGGGGGGAAGAAGAAACGGAGGAAGGTAATTATTGATATGTGTCAGGTTCGACGTTGCACATTTTCACTTTATTACTTGGTTTGATCATCACAATTACCCTGTGATGTTATCATAATCATTCACATTTCCTGCAGCTCAGGGAGGGTAAGTCGTTTATTCACTCAAGTTCCTATGGTCACAATTCCTGAGTTTGAAGTCCGTGCAAAGTTGGCCTAACTCTCCAAGCCTGTGTTCTTTCCTATGTCGTGTTCATAGGAAGTCATTTCTACTGTTTTCTAGACACGTAAAGGACTGAGTGTACTGTTTCGTCTTAGTGTTGTAATTTGAGGCTTCCAGGGAAGATGTCTTGCGTAAAAATTGCCTGAGTTTCCACTGTTAGTGATTCATTCCCCTTGGGTTTGAGTTGTTCACTTCCCTGTCCTAGCTTAGTTTTCAAGATGTAAGACTCTTGGAGGATGATTTGGCCACCAGGGGAGTCTGTTACAGCAGTGATGGCAGCCAGTGGGCAGGAGGAGGACTCCGGGGCCAGGAGAGGGAGGAAATGAAAAAAGGCAGGTGGACATGGTGTGGAGGTGCAGGGAGGGCAGAAGATGAAGTAAATGTATGTGGAAAGAAAGAACCACTGAAGAAGCAGAGACAAGACTGCCTACTCCCCAACTGTGCTCAAGCCCTTCTCTACCAAGGAAGGGGCACAGGAATGCTCAGGAAGACCACAGTTGTGGCCAAGGCCAAGAAGAAATGGGATGAGGATGAAGGAGGGGAAGGAGAAAGATGCTAATGTGTACACAGCACTGACCCTGGGCAGATACTGTGCTTAGGGCTTGAAGCACATGATCTCATTTATTTTGAGCTGCTGTAGAACACTCTGGACTTGCAAAGATGAGGAAGTTCTGCTCCTATTGGCTAAAAGCCTTCGCCAAGGACACACAGATAGTGCAGAGAGGATTTGAACTAAGGTCTCTCTGGTGCACTCTACCCAGGTAGAGTGCTGAAAAGACAACAGGGTGTGTAATATCACCTTTGCATATAATAATTTTTATAATAGCATCCAATAGAAATCAAAAGCTTACTATGTGAAAGGCACTGTTGTAGGTGTTTTCTATGAAGTCATTAAATCTATGTGAGGTAGACACTCCTTATCTATGTGAGGTAGACACTCTTTACCCCCATTTTACAGATGAGGAGACTGAGGTATAGAGCGTTCTCTCAGCTGGTAAATGAAGTACATGCTAGGCAATTTAACTTCTCCATGCAAGTAAGGGTAGCTATAATGGAGCCAGGGATGGGAAAACTGAAATTACTGCCAAGATGGGGAACCAGAGGAAGACCATAACAATAAACCAAGGCATAAACTCCAGGCAGCAACTGAATTCTTTGGGTGCCTGGGCTAAACCGTGGGCACTCACACTGGAGACTGTTTAATCCTGCCACCTTTGAACTGGGAGCCCTTCTTAATTGTCAGCAAATGCTTACAGGAGAATAAAGCAGCAAATGAATGTAATTGTAAAAACTCAAGAAGGGCCAATTGCACATATATTGGCAGCTTTCTGGCTTTTCTGGATGTGGAAAAAAATTGCAACTGTGACAAACTGCATTTGTTGCAGGCTGCTCACTTTTCTTTTCTTTTCTTTAAAGACAGGGTCTTGCTCTGCTTCCCAGGCTGGAGTGCACTGGTGTGACCATAGCTCACTGCAGCCTTGACCTCCTAGGCTTAAGTGATCCTCCTGCCTCAGTCTCTCAAATAGCTGGAACTACAGGCACATGCCACAATGCCTGGCTAATTTTTAATTTGTTTTTATAGACATAGGGTTTCACCATGTTGCCAAGCTGATCTTGAACTCCTGAGCTCAAGCAATCTGCTGACCTCAGCCTCCCAAAGTGCTGGGATTACAGGCATGAGCCACCTGTAATCCCTGCAGGTGTGAGCCACCTGCAGCCTGACACAGGCTGCTCATTTCCTACAGATAGAATCATTTCTAGTTTGTAAGACAGAGATGAATATTTTATAGCTTTGGACGAGGAAGGTTTTTCTCCTTCCAGAGCACTGTGACTTCTAGATACTTTACTATCAGAATTAGTTTGGGATAAACTGGTCCAATCCATTATCTTTTCCCTTGCACAGCTTTTTTTCTCTTCCAGAGTGATAAACCGTTTACCACCCTGTCTTCTCTCTATTAACCCAACAGCAGGCAATTGTTCTCAGACATGGGCACAACCATCTTTTCTGGTCTCCTTTTTACTCTCTTTAAACTCTTGCCCAATTATGCAAGAAAAATATCTCACCTTCTCCCCCTCCATCCCATTCATGAATATGCTTTAGAGTGAAACCTCTCTAACAAGAAAACAAATACTCACCAGGGTTTGTGAACAGAACTGAAATTAGACGCTCCTCCCAATACTTGGCCAGGTGTGGTTTTTACAACTTTTTGTGAAACAAACACTGATTTCAAGAGTCCCATTTAGCCCAGTCTAGAACACTCTAGAACTCTAAGGGACCATTTGCTATGACATTAGGGCATCAGGCACTGATGCAGTCTCTCCCAACTTCTCACCAAATATTCCAGATAGAGAGATAAATAGATAGATAGAGGAAAAAATGAACACACATGCATACAATCCAAACAGAAACCAACACTGACAGGCCAGAATCAGGGACTGACCTTATGTCTAAGTCAGATGGAAATGGATTAAGGAAATCCAGGCTGAAGCTCGAGCCAAAAGTCTCTACAATAAGTGGGTACACCTTGCATCATGGCTGAGTACAGTTTGGTCCCCAAGTGGGTGTGCACTTTTTCCTTGGATACTTCATCCCTTTTGTCTTTTCCTTTAATGCAGACTGATGCATCACATTCACTGAGATGGAGAAGTTTGAGGAGAGGATAATTTGGGAGTGGAAAACGAGAGTCCTTCTTTGTCCGAGTTCTATCCCCATCTGACCCCAGTGGAGAGGTCTGGGCTATAGCTCTCTATTTGGGAGTTCACATGGTACCATGGTCACTGAGGCTGTGAACCATGTGAAGAGAGAAGTGTGGAGAGAACACCTCCAGTGTTAAGAGGTGGCACTGGAAGAATCACCAAAGGAACACTGAGAAGATGCAGCTCATGAACAGGAAGAGAACACGATGTCCCAGGATCCAAAACAAGTGTGTTTCAAGGAGGGAGTGGGGAATGCTGCTGCAAGATCTACAACATGAGGGCAGAGAAGTGGCCACTGCATCTGGTGACGTGGAGGGTTAGGGTGAGCATGAAGGAACAAGTGCAGGGAGAATACCAAACGGAATGGGCTGAGGAGAGAGAAGAAGTGGCAGAGAGGCAACTCCTTTGGGAAGCTTTGCTCAAGACTTGGGTTTTTGAGATGCCCCAGAATCCTTCTGTTAAGTTCCTTTTTGTTTTTCTTTACCTAGCACAAGTTCATTCGCTGTCATAGTGACCAAAAGAACCCTAAGGGGCCTCCAGTTTGAAAAAAAAGGTCTCTATCTATGTCAAAAGAAAAACTACCTGTATTAGTCAATTTTTCTGCTGCTGCTAAAGACATACTTGAGACTGGTGGGGAGAAAAAGAGGTTTAATTGGACTTGCAGTTCCACATGGCTGGGGAGGCCTCAGAATCATGGCAGGAGGCAAAAGGCATGTCATACATGGCAGTGGCCAGAGAAAATGAGGAATATGCAAAAGCAGAAACCCCTGATAGAACCATCAGATCTCGTGAGACTTAATACCTCGAGAACAGTATGGGGGAATCCACCCCCATGATTCAAATTGTGTCCCACCAGGTCCCCCCTCTACAACATGTGGGAAATATGGGAGTACAATTCAGGATGAGATTTGGATGGGGACACAGAGCCAAACCATACCATTCTGCTCTGACCCCTCCAAATCTCATGTCCTCACACTTTGAAACCAAACATGCCTTCCCAACAGTCCCCCAAAGTCTTAACTCATTTCAGATTTAATTCAAAAGTCCACAGTCTAAAGTCTTATCTGAGACAAGGCAAGTCCCTTCCACCTATGAGCCTGTAAAATCAAAAGCAAGTCCGTTACTTACTAGATACAATGAGGGTACAGTCATTGGGTAAATACAGCCATTCCAAACAGGGGAAATTGGCCAAAACAAAGGGGTTACAGGTCCCGTGCAAGTCCAAAATCCAGCAGGGCAGTCAAATCTTAAAGCTCCAAAATGATCCCCTTTGACACCATGTCTCACAACTGGCTCATGCTGATGCAAGAGGTAGGCTCCTATGGTCTTGGGCAGCTCTGCCCCTGTGGCTTTGCAGGGTACAGACTCCCTCCCAGATGCTTTCATGGGCTGGCGTTGAGTGTCTACAGGTTTTCCAGGCACACAGGGCAAGCTGTCGGGGGATTTGCCATTCTGGGGTCTGGAGGACACTGGCCCTCTTCTCACAGGTCCACCAGGCAGTGCCCCTGTAGGGACTCTGTTTGGGGACTCCAACCCCACATTTCCCTTCTGCACTGTCCTAGCAGAGGTTCTCCATGAGTGCTCCGCCCAGGCAAACTTCTGCCTGGGTATCCGGGATTTCCATACATCTTCTGAAATCTAGGCAGACATTCCCAAACTGAGAAAAGGGTACAAAGAATCTCTCTTTATTGTTTCATAGAACTACATAGGAATGTACAATTTATCTCAATATTTAACAGTCTAATTAAGAAAGAAAAATTAAGAGCCTTGTACAAATAAGTTTAAAATGTTAAAAGATAAGCTTTAAAACTACCTAGAATAACCACTGCCAACATTCTGATCTTTATCCTTCTAAAAACGTTATTTTTTGAAATCCCACAGATCATACTCAAATATATTTATCTCATAAAAGAGGTGCTATTTGAGAGTCCACTCCAAAGAAGGGGTATTTTCACCATCAGATGTGAAGGAATAATTGGCACTGGACTAAGCCTCCCTCCATGAACAATCGTAGGACGAGCCAAAAGAGTTGAAGCAACTGTTTATAGACACTGGACAACAGGCAAGCACAGGCCTGTAATCCCTCAGAGAAGAGAAATGCACAAGGTGAGCCTCTTGATTTTCCTGGCTTTCTGCTGGAAGGCCCTTCCATGGTTTAAAGCATAGAGGTAGAACCCAAGCAGAGTACAGAGGGCTTTCTGAGTTGAGGAGCCAGAAATTGGAGTTTGGAGTCTAGAAATGGCTGGAATGCGTGGGGCAAGAAACTGGAAAAGAGGGAAATGTGAAAAAGAGGAGGTCAAGAAGACCTTAGCTGAATACTAAGCTGCGCATGCAGGGTAAGACCTTGTGAAGCCTGGCAGAAACAGCTACTGGAAAGCCTGGAGTTGAGCAGAGGTTCTAGAAGTTGCAAAGTGCTGGGAGACATTGAATTTCCAATCAGCCAGGGTGGAGGAACATCACTGAATACCTCAGACATTCAACTGAGATCATAGAAGGGCAATGCTTGGCATCTAGACATCCATTAAGTTTTAAGAAACACTTGAAGGGATCCTGCTTATCCAACTATAAATTAAGTGCCTGCCAGAATATAATTCTTTAAAGAAAAACAAGAAAATCCAGACTCTCAACAATGTGGCATCCATAATGCCTAGAATACATTTAAAAATTACTAGACAGAGGCTGGGCGCAGTGGCCCATGCCTGTAATCCCAGCACTTTGGGAGGCCGAGGCGGGAGGATCATGAGGTCAAGAGATTGAGACCATCCTGGCCAACATGGTGAAACCCCATCTCTACTAAAAAACACAAAAACTAGCTGGGCATGGTGGCATGTGCCTGTAGTCCCAGCTATTCGAGAGACTGAGGCACGAGGATTGCTTGAACCCAGGAGGCGGAGATTGTGGTGAGCCAAGATAGCGCCACTGCACTCCAGCCTGGCACCTGGTGACAGAATAAGACTCTGTCTCAAAAAAAGAAAAAAATTACTAGACAGATGAAGAAGAAGAAAAATGCAGTTAATTACTAGGGAAGTAATTCAATAAAATAAACCCAAAGACAGTAGGTATGTTGAAATTAGGAGGCAAAGACTTTAAAACATCTCTTATAAATATGTTCAAAGATTTCAAGGAAAAATGGAGAGAGCAAGTTAAATCTCAGTAGGAAACTGGAAATTTTTTTTTTTTTTTTGAGATGGAGTCTCACTGTGCTGCCCAGGCTGGAGTGCAGTGGCATGATCTTGGCTCACTAAACTCTTTGCCTCCCAGGTTCAAGCGATTCTCCTGCCTCAGCCTCCCAATTAGCTGGCATTACAGGCATGCGCCACCATGCCCGGCTAATTTTTATATTTTTAGTAGAGATAGGGTATCACCATGTGGGCTATTCTGGTCTTGAACTCCTGACCTCAGATGATCTGCCCGCCTCGGTCTCCCAAAATGCTGGGATTATAGGTGTGAACCACTGCACCCAGCCTGGAAGCTATTTTTAAAAGAACCAAGTGGAAATCTATTTCCAAACGAAACACAACCTCTGAAAAGAAGAATTCATTGGATGGACTGAATAAAAGATTTGACACTGCAAAACTAAGATCAGTGAAACTAAAGCTATAGAAACCATTCAAACTAAAACACAGAAAATAAAAAAGATTTCAAAATATGAACAGAGCCTCAGTGACCTCTGGGCACAATCAGAAGTTCTGATAGATACGTAATTGATGTGTCAAAAAGAGAGAAGAAAGAAAATGAGGGAAGAAAAAATATTTTAAGAAATAATGGCCAAAATGTTCCCAAATTTAATAAAAAATATCAACCCATTGATCTGGGAAAAACCCAAGAAGGATATGTGCAAAGAAAACCACCAGCCTGCCCAACATGGTGAAACCCCATCTCTACTAAAAATACAAAAACTTAGCCAGACGTGATGGTGGGCGCCTGTAATCCCAGCTATTCGGGAGGCTAAGGCAGGAGAATTGCTTGAACCTGGAAGGCAAAGGCTGCAGTGAGCCGAGATAACCCCACTGCACTCTAGCCTGGGGGACAGCGCAAGACTCCATCTCAAAACAAACAAACCAAAACAAAACGAAAAGGGACTTTCAACCTAAAATTCTATCTCCAGTGAAAATATTCTTCAAACACGAAAATTAGAAAACTTAATGGTGTGACTGAAATGTTTTATATATTGTTAGATCTGTGGGTGACATGGGTGTATACATTTGTCAAAATTGTACAGTTAAATTTTTTAAATTTTGGCCAGGCACAGTGGCTCACGCCTGTAATCCCAGCACTTTGGGAGGCCGAGGCAGGTGGATCACCTGCGGTTGGGAGTTTAAGACCAGCCTGACCAACATGGAGAAATCCCGTCTCTACTAAAAATACAAAATTAGCCAGGCATGATGGTGTATGCCTGTAATCCCAGCTACCTAGGAGGCTGAGACAGGAGAATTGCTTGAACTCAAGAGGCAGAGGTTGCGGTGAGGAGATCACGCCATTACTGCACTCCAGCCTGGGCAACAAGAGCAAAACTCCGTCTCAAAAAACCCCACAAAATTACATTTTATAGTTTGCAAATTTTTCATGAAAAGAAATATAAAAATAATCAAAGGGGTTGGGAACTGAAGAAAGCTATAGGTAAAACATTATTTTTAAATAATGAAGATAAAGACATTCGAAGGCAAAAAGATGTTGAAAAGATGGTCACCAGCAGACGTGTATTACTAAAAATGTTTTTGTTTGTTTGTTTTGAGATGGAGTCTTGCTCTGTTGCCCAGGCTGGAGTGCAGTGATACAATCTCGGCTCACTGACACCTGTACCTCCTGGGTTCAAGTGATTGTCCTGCCTCAGCCTCCCAAACAGCTGGGACTACAGGCACGTGCCATCACACTTGGCTAATTTTTGTAGTTTTAGTAGAGACGAGGTTTCCCCATATTGGTCAGTCTGGTTAAAAGTGTTTTTTAAACAGCTATTCTATCAGACCTTTAAGAAAGAAATAATATCAATCTTAAATTCTTTCATAAAATAGAGAAGGAGGAAACACTTCCCAATTCATTGATGAAACCAGCATAATCCTGATGTCACAATTAGACAGTAATGTGACAAAGAATAAAACAGATCAATATCTCTCATTTTACATTTCAAGATGCAAAAATTCTGAACAAAATAATTAAAAATGAAGTCTAGAAATACACAAATATAATTCTTTCTAAAATAAGTAAAAATATGTAAAAAGACCAAATGGGACTTATCCACTTGGAATGCTGTACTTGGAAGGTTGTTTTAATGTGCAAAAATTAATGTAATTCACCACATTTATAAAAAAAGAGGGGAAAAATCACATAACCACTTCATGGATACACAAAAAACATTTGAAAAAACTCAACCCTTGTTTATAAGAACTCTCAGTAAGAGGGAACTCCTCAAACTGATAAGAGCATCTATGAAAAATCCGTAGTTAACATCATACTTAAAGGTGATAGCTGAACACTTTTCACCTACTATTGGGAACAAAGCAAGGACGTCTGTTTGTCACCACTTCCATTCAACATTGTACTGGAGGTCATAG